TATACTCATTTGATAGATAGAAAGACTAGGGCTCTGAAAGAGACCTTCAGGCCAGGATTCCAGCCCAGAGAAGATGCCACACCCGGTGAGTTTACGTCCCATCAAACCCTGTTTTCATCACTATGGCACTGATGCCAAAGCTTTTAGAGCTTTCACTGATAACAGCCTGCTCCAGTCCAGTTCTCCACTAGGGCTGTACAGCAGTGGTCTTAGGCCTATTACTTCTGCTGTCTGAGTTCAGGTCTTTTTTCATAAAAATGAAGATAATACTGGGCTAGGGATTTAGTTCAGTGATGCTGCCTCTGCCTCACAAGTACAAGGTCCTAGAGTTTGATCCCAGTGCCCCCCCCAAAAAGATAATACTGCCTTCTCACCTTCCTAGGGAAGATTACATAAGATAGAGCCTCCAATGTGGTATTTTTTTTTTCTTTTATTGAGTTTATTGGTACATTTTAGGTATACAGTACAATTACGTTCATTACTGGGATCTTGTACCTTTACATGACAGGTCTTGGTTCTCATTTTTTCCCCTTGTCCCTGCCCTCCCTTCACGCCCTCCTCCCTTCCCCATTTACAAGCACTTTATTTCCATTTTTTCATTTTCTCATATTTTTTTTCTTTTCCCTTATTACCTTTTCCCTACCCTTCCCATTTTCCCTACGCCTTTAGCACTTTTCTTCCTATTTCACATGGTCAATTGTATCATTACAATCTTATGTGCTATTACAGTTTTTCACACCAGAGAAACTATTCGGTATTTACACATGTGTGACTTATTTATTTCACTTAGGAGTATATCCTCAATATGTATCCATTTTCCTGTGAATGAATCTAATTTCTCATTCTTTATGGCTGAGTAGTATTCCATTTTATAGAAAAACCACATCTTTATCCAGTTTCCAACTGATGGGCAAATGGGCTGTTTCCAAGATTTAGCTATTACAAACTGTGCTGCTATAAACATAGGTGCACATATATCACTGTAGTATGATTCTTTTAATTCTTTTGGAAAGATACCCAGCAAAGGGATGGCTGGGTCAAATGGAACCTCTAGTCCCAGCTCTTTGAGGTATTTCCATATTGATTTCCATAGTGGTTGCACCAATCTGCACTCCCACCAACAATGGAGAAGGGTTCCTTTCTCCCCGAAACCCCCCAACATTTGTTATTGATTGATTTCTTGATAGCAGCCATTCTTTGTGGGGTGAGGTGGAATCTCGGTGTTGTTTTCATCTTCATCTCTCGAATGAACAGTATTATTTCATATATTTACTTGCTGCTTTTACTTCTTTGTCTGAGAAATTTTGATATATAGGAGGTGTTCAGTTTGTTTGTCTCCATCCCCCTGCCTTTTCTGCCCCTTTCCTTGGGCTTTTCATGGTTTGAGTTATTCCTTCATGATGTCCCTGGTTCTAATCAGGCCTCTCTCAGTGACAGACAGGGATGCTTTGCAGCTCAGTGTCCCTCTGACTGATGTCAACTGCTAATTCCTTAAATTTACATATCATCTTTCTTCCCTGGAGCTCACAGCACTTAACAGACAAGTGGAGCACAAATGATTTAACTAAGTGAAATCCAGAGGTCTGCTTGTCTGGAGATTCTGCAAACCAGTGGATTAGCTCAGATGTCAGTGCTGAATTATGATCCTTCAGCTGCTCGTGCTTAGCACACCACCAGCATTAACTCCCTGGTCTAGCAGTGGCCTCTAAATCATGCACAATGATTATCATCCTGCTGTGAGAGAGGAGAAGAGAAGACAGGAAAGGAGAGAGGAGGAGTTGCAAAGGGTCCCTGGAAGAGGCTGGCCCAGAGACCTCTGGTCTGGTCCTGCCTCGAGTTCCAGGAACGGGCTAGGTCAACAGTACAGAACACCAGGTAAAATCCAGTTGGCCCCTACTTTACCACCCAGCACACATTTTGCTTACCCTGTTCTACCCTTATGCTGTGATTACTGCCTTGTAAGAGTGCAAATTCATACAAGTGACACTATTTCTGCCAAGAGATTTTCAGGCAGCAAGAGGGTTTTATTTGTGAAACTGTGAAGGAAGAAGGCTGAATGAAGTTTGGTTTCCTTTAGAGCCAAAGTGGAAAACAGTCACAGGGCTTGGAAATTACCGGGAGTGTAGGAACATTTTGGGGGTTTTGCTGGTGTCTCTATTCACTGGGTTCCTCTAAAGGTCACCCTGTTATTAATTCACCTCACCTTTGAAAGGGGCTTTGGGCTCAAGAGAATGGAAGGAATTGTGAAGGGATTATGTGAATCTGAGAGATTGCCAGAAGCTAGCTGATTATCCCTCAGTCCTCAATTCCAATATAGCCTCATAGCACTCTGTATCTGTGTGTCATTTATTCATTTGTGCATGCAAGGGAACAGAATTTCCTAGGGAAAAAAGGAAAAGAGAAAGCTGCATTAAATCTTTTATGCTCAAGACCAGAACCCTACAGTTTAACTGAGATGATAAGAAAGACTCCCTATTGTCAAGTTATAGTGCCAGGTAATGTGGTAATCTGCTGAAACCCACAGAAAATGACCTCATTGAGGGAAAAAACTCTGTGCATATCTCAGACTAACACAGCATCACATTAAGGTGACACTGAGGTGGCCTGTGTGCCCACATTCCATGCTGGGTATGTCCCTACCCTCCTTGCAGAAGATTCAGTGTAAGTGCTCCTATGTTTCCAACCTAAAGCAGGCAGAGCGATTTCCTCCTCAGATAAACCTTGCTTTCTGCATGAATGGCCAGAGTTCTCCTGCACATGCTGGAGTTGAAGATGCCAACCTTGGCACCTGTCTCTTTAAGGCATGGGTCTGCCATGACCTTTTAAAGGAGGTAAATGCAGTGATACTGTCAGTAAATGCTAGATTTGTTGGGAGAGGAGGAGGCAGATTAATGTTGCTTGTGTCAGAATGGGTGGAAAACAGTTGGCACAAGAGATGGGTTAGGTGGAGAACCGGGAAGTGAGGAATTAAGGAAAGAGGAGAAAAGGCAGCAGCAAGCCCAGTGGAATAATTGTTTGCCTCCAACAAAATGTGACGGGTTGGGGCTGGGGATTTAGCTTAGTGGTGCCGCCACCTGTCTTGCATTTGCAAGGTCCTGAGTTTGATCTCCAGTACCTAAAAAAAAAATGTGATAGATTTGGCTACCGCACCTACAGGCAGCTGCAGAAAGGTGGGAAAACCCTCAGTCACTCCAGGCGGCACCATTTAACCAGCATCTCTACTTTGGACTCTCATCTTTATGAGCTTCAGTTGCTTCGCCATGAGCGTACTAGCACATATCATATAGCAGATGAAATAAGTCATACCAGTGTGCTTTGTAACCTGTAAAGCATTATGCAAATATGAGTTGTAATTATTATCATTAAGATTTGTAGCAAAAAGAACTGATGGGGAAGTGTAGGTTTAGAAGATCACTGAGTGTCTAGTTGTGATATTGGGATCTGCTCCCTCCCAGATCCTCATCATTAACATTCTCTCCTGCAAACAGCTGCCTCTTAGTTATCTGTGCTGACTTGGCCTTGAAGAGGTCAGGTGTTGTAGAGTATGAAGGCTGACAGTGCTGTGAACCCAGAGAAATCACTAACTAGAATCCCACATAGCATCCTCAGCAGGGCTCCTTAGGCTCCTGAAGCAATAATCCCAGAGGGTCTAACAACAGGAAGGGCCTCAGGGGAGCCAGGAAGATGGGCAAGGTGGCTGGGAGTTGACAAGGAAGAAGCTGTTTCTGTGCTGCTGGCAGAAAGTTTGTCTCACGTCTCACCTGGATATCAGCAAGAGTGATGACAAACGAGCGACCAGTGTGGCATTGGCTCAGGGCTCTGGAGTCCTAATCTGTCCTTTCCTCACAACCCCAGGATGTTTACAGTCCTTGTCGAGGGAAAAAACTCTGCATATCTCAGACTAACACAGCATCACATTAAGGTGACACTGAGGTGGCCCGTGTGTCCACATTCCATGATGGGTATGTTCCTACTCGCCTTGCAGAAGATTCAGTGTAAGTGCTCCTATGTTTCCAACCTAAAGCAGGCAGAGCGATTTCCTCCTCAGATAAACCTTGCTTTCTGCACGAATGGCCAGAGTTCTCCTGCACATGCTGGAGTCGAAGATGCCAACCTCAACACCTGTCTCTTCAAGGCATAGGTCTGCCAGTGGCAACAAGACCTCAGTCTAAAGAATAAGAGTCTGATTATTTGAAACCAATCCACCAGAAGGGCCATACTCCAAACATTTGGGTTGTTGAAACCATAATTTCTCAGAATATGTACATTCTGTGCTAAACACACAGCCTTTGTTAATGCTGGTAACCTTATCTTTGTCATTGGACCTGTGTGTGTGACTGGCTGCTTGAGAAAGGCCAAGTTCAGATCCCTTAGGGTATATAAGGAATGAAGTGAAATGTCAGGTCCCCTGAACTACCCTGCTCAGCCACCTCCTGCTCTGCTTGAAGTTGACACTGGCTTCTGAGTTGTGGTCACTGGAGTCCAGGGATCATCTAGCAGCATTGGCAGAGACAGAAGGTTTTAAATGTCTTCCATTTGGTCAGTGACCAGCCAAGATGACAAAGGCCCAAAGCACAAACCACCTGGCCTGTCTAACAGCCACCTCAGCCTGTGTAAACCAGTCCCTTGTAATCAGTTCATTAGACCACATTGGCTGTTTGGGTAGGCCCATGATGAGTAAGACATGAGTCTGGCCTTTTGGAATCTAGGGAGAGAAAGCAAGCCTGTACTGAACCAGCCAAGACATAAAACTGACACAGAAACAGGAAGAGGGAATGTCACGTCTTAGAGAGACTTAGAAAGGGATTCAGGAGGGAACAATACTGGAATCAAGGCTTTGAAGGGGCCCTTAGAAAGACAAAGGGCTTGGAGAACAAGAACGTGAGTAAATACAAAACACTCAAGCTACGGTCCCAATTTTCCCCTGCAGAAGCCACAGCTGCAAACAAGTGTCTTTCTAGGCATTTACCAGGAATCCCTGTTTGGGTTTGCTTCCCCAGATGACAGGAACTTCTTGCGGATGCAGAGTGACAGCAGGCGAGAGGGCCAGTATGGGCGGATCATCAGCCCGCCGGTGCACCTGCCGCGGAGCCCTGTGTGCCTGGAGTTCCAATTCCAAGCCACAGGCGGCCGTGGGGTGGAGCTGCAGGTGGTGCGGGAAGCCAGCCAGGAGAGTAAGCTCCTGTGGGTCATCCGCGAGGACCAGGGCGGCCAGTGGAAGCACGGACGCATCATCCTGCCAAGCTACGACATGGAGTATCAGGTGGGGTGGGGTGGGGTGGGGTGGGGAGTTGGCTGGGAGATGCAAGGGAATCGCTGTGGTCCCTGTTCCAATATTTCAGAGGGCTGCACCCATTCATCATTAGGGACATGCTTAAGCACTGCCGTTTTCATTGTGCTTCTCCCGTCGCCATGGCAACTAAATGACACTCTTATTTGTTATTCAGAATGTGCCTATCTCTACACCCAGACTTGGTTCTTTGTTCCTCCTATTGCCTTTTATATTGCTGAAATCTTCCCCAACAAATGTTTCTTCTCTCCATTTTATTTTAGATTGCTATCAGGTAGGCTGACAAAGGCGCACAAAGCACAAGGAAACAAACACAAACAAGCCCTCCACACACAAGGAAAAGAGCTGTGGAACCCCTCAGAATCCAGGAGAAGATAGGAGCAGGAGCACCGGGAGGGACAGGTGTGGTTTGCACTCCTCAGCCTGCAGACCTGAGAGAGTCCTAACCACTGCAGGAATTGAGTTGTATCATCTCTGCCCCACAGAGCAGGAGACTGAGGCACAGATGGGCGCAGGCAGCTGTAGCTGCCTCTCAGGGAGGAGTAGATACGCTGTGGATGAGGTGACTGAGAAACAGCCAAAGCATTAACCTGCTCCTCCCCAGACGGGGAGCAGCAACAGATGGCTGGAGAGGCAGCCAACTGCTCCTCCGCCTGCCAGAGGACACGCGCTCATTTGCAGAGAGAGCCTGACCAAGGCGAGGATGAGGAATGACTGGAGACCATCCCACCCCCGCCTGGGGTCCCACTTGCTGACCTCATGCATGTCCTACAAGTACCTGTTTGAATTTTTGTTACATCCACCAGATGGTGGGCTTCTCCAGGCAGAAATCTTCATGGGTCTTGATACTTACTGTCCTTGTGCCTGGCACATAGTGGGTGCTTGGGAAGCCACTGGGGAAAGGGTAAATCATTTCTCTCCCAGTTGAAGTAATGGGGCCCTAGGCATTGTCCACAAGGCAGCTCAATCCTGTAGCCTGCATATCTCACGTTACTCTCACCTGCTCATGTCCTCTGAGTTTTCAAATGCTTGGTCTGGGTGTTTGAGAGATTTATGAGAAAGGAACCTCTGAAATAGCTAGGGAAATTTCAACCTTCCTGAAAACACACCCTGATTGTGGTCCTTTTAATCAACACATTCTAGTTACTGGACAATAATATCTGTCAACTTACTATATTTTCTTATGTTCTCAAATATGCATTTGATTTGAGCCAGCTCTCTTTAAATTAAGATCTCAAGAACTGTAGCCATGTGGTCAGCAGATGTGTACCAGGTGCAGTAATCTGCACATGCATGCGAATGTGTACACGCACGCACACACGCACACACACACACACACACCCATGTTAAGCTGCAATTAACAGAAATTGGAAATCTTTGCATTTGGACCAAGAGGTTTCATTAACAGTGGTTCTTGTTCTTCTGGCTTCTAGATTGTGTTTGAGGGAGTGATAGGAAAAGGACATTCAGGAGAGATCGCCATTGATGATATCCGGATAAGCACTGATATCCCGCTGGATAGCTGCATGGGTACGTGACTACCTGTTTCTTTGTGGTACTTTCAAATAAGACGCCAAGGGCTGGGACATCTAAGGAGAGGTAACTGGCCATTTTCAAACAGTCATTCCCAGTGAGTGGGCCAGCACCAGTCTATGCAAGTGGGGAAGTGCGGGTGTAGTCATAGCTTGGACTGACATCAGGGTGGAAGGGTTGGGAAATGAGGTGAAAGCTTATATCCATGTTCCTGGTCAGAAGTAGACGTGCACTGAGTATATGAAGATTCTGGGTGCCAAGTCCCCATCATCAAGCTCCAGTTTTTAGCAAAGAAAATGCTAGAGGGTGAGAGTAGCTGCCAGTCAGAATTGCATGCTGGAAGGTTTGAGAGATTTAATGGAAGCCTTCGGTGGTGAGCAAAAATAGTAAATGTGTTATATAAGAGTAATAACACAATTACCCGAACAGTTCTTTCAGAGGACATTATGAATTTCAGAGGACATTATGACATTTAAAGTAAGATGGTACATTTTGCTTTAAAGCTCATACCTCTGATGCCCAAGACCCTGGAATTATAGGATAATACATTGCATACCAGGTGATCAGCATAGGAGGACACTACTACTGCCCCCTTGGTCAGAAGTTCTAAGCAGCAAGCCCTCCTGAGAGGTGCACATTTTATCCAGGACTACATAATGCAGCAGGGTCTTCCCAAGACCATCTACCCTCAGAGGAACAGACATTCTTGAGTAAGAGGGGACTCCCGAGAAGGACAAGAACCTGCTTTCAGTCAGCACAGGATCTATAACAAGTCCCCAGGGCCCACGGCTCCCAATTTTGTGTGTCCCTAATGATGTCAGAAGCAACTGAGAATGCCCCAATCCCCTTGAACAATCTTTGGGCTCCGGGCAGCTAAAAGTAATTCTAGCTGTGAGAAAGTAATCAGTGGTAAGTGACTGATTATAGTGCTTCGGGGCCCCATTACTCGATGAAGGACTTTTTGTTCCAAAGCAATTTTGAGAATCTTCTCCACCCACCTGAACCCCTTGATGATGATATGTTAGACACAGTCGAGAACACATGGAGGATATGGGGCACTTTCATAATCATATTTCCAAATATGTAACCTAATGGAAGTCATCACGATCACCATGTTCGTCCAATTATTTCTTTCCTTAATCTAACTCAGTTTTTCTCCTGTTTTCTTTCTCCAGAACCCATGTCCGCTTTTGCAGGTGAGAATTTTAAAGGTAAAAAAATATATATTTTTTGCATGCCTTTTCCTTCCCCCATGTGGTGTGAATTTGGTGGGGGTGGGGGTGGTGAGCACAGGGGAGGGAGTAAACTTCCAAATTTGACAAAACTCCACGAGAAAATAGTTGCCTCACCTTCCCACCACTAGATGGCGCCAACAACACCTGGAGATGGTGGAGATTGAGATCCTGGCTGTCTCTTGTTTAATTAAAGTTTAGAAACCTTTAATAGAGACAAATAGGTTATAGACAAACCTTTCAGCCTTGCATTGTCCAACAGGGAGCAATGAGGCTGAAAATTCAGGAGTAGTGAGAAAAGAGAGGCTGGGAAGATTGAATTTAAAAAAAAAAAGAAAGAAAAGAAAAAACCCATAATAAATTAAAAGGGAAATGAGGTGATGAGGATTTATTTTAGCCTGAAAATGGGTTCTTTGTGGCTCCAGGGAACCAAGGTGGTGGTCTCCATTAACTTTCAGGGAGGTCCAGAGGCTGGGGGTCTTGTGAGAGAAGAATGCTAGGAACAGACACAGGAGTATGGTGATCATGAAGAGGAGTTGACAAAGTCAGAAGATGGAGTCTGGCAAAGGGAATAAGGAGGCACATTCGGTAACAGTGAGAGCACTTTAGATACAGGGCTGAAAAGTAGAAAAGGACAGTTACTCTCTTAAAAAGGAAATGGGAAGCAGAGCAAGAAAGACTAATTTAGGATGTGTGCCTTATTGGCAAGGGAAGGGCTTCAACTTTGGGTGATGGTTATGTTTATGCTTTTGTAATGCGGTGGGTTCTACATCCTGCCCTCTTTGTAATCCAGCTAGTTGACATCAAAGTTTCTGTCCAGGTTGCTAAAGCTAAACACTTAGGAGCTGCTTTAAACGCTACCCTGCAGTTGGCCAGAGGGTAAAACATACTCTGAGACACCATCACCTAATGACAGGGAGTTTTCAGAACCTATTTGTTGTGAGCAGTCTGAGGGCTAGGGAACCCTGTTGGTAGTGGCTGGGCTGAACCCTACAGGGGACAGCATTTCAAAGATAGGGGTAGCCATTTCTGTAGCCTACCTCTCAACACATTGTCTTTACCCATTAATCCACCCCACCCCTGGTTGGAAAGAGATGAATTCCTGGTTTGCCACCTATGTTCTCCCTGATTCCAAATCCCTGGACCTGATTTGCCACTCATCACAGCTCTAAGACAATCAATGAGGGGGGAGAGTAACAACACAGAGGAGAATAACAGCCATGCAGAATGGATTTTTCTTTCTTTCTTACTATTCCTGGCCTCACCAAACCCCATGCCACTCCCCATTACATTTTAAAATATGAAGATTATTCACGTCCATACATCGGTGGTCTCTGGGTATAAGATTTCTGTGATTGCAAATCCAAAGTATTAAAAGGAAAGCTGAAATTCACATTGAACAACTTGGATTCCAGTTGAATTCTAGTTCTAGTCCTCAGGACCCAAGGTAATGCTTATGTTCGGAAAGAGAAACCTGCTTATATTGCTTCCTCTGACTCTTTGGGTTTTTGAGACTCAAAGCTCTCAGAAAGGCTGATTCAAGACATGCTGACAACTGCCACAGAGACGCCATTCTGTGCAAGCACCATGTCAGGCTGTGACTGACAAGTATGAAGGCTAAGAGCTTTGCTTCCGTGAGAGAATACACAAACCAGGCACACATGCTTTCATTGAAGCCTTGCGTGTCACCGGGCAGCGTGATCCAGTCATGTTCTCTTGTAAAAAAAAATACCTAAATCTCACCCGAGTGGCAGTGTTCATTTGGCCAAAATAAGCACAGGGCTTAATAGCTTGGAGGTAAGAATTTCCAGTACGCTCCTGATGGGTACCGGGGACTCTGCAGAGGCAAGGGTGCGAGTTGCACAGGGTAGCCTATGGCTGTTGTTGTGAAGCTGGCTGGCAAGCACCTTTGGAAGGAGGCAACCAAGTCTTGGAGAGCAGAAACTCAGCCAGGAATAGAGTCCAGAGCAGAATCAGAGTTCAGAAGGGGTCATCATGATCACATTGCACATTTTATACGGAGTTTCAAGGGTCACATCTTTTGGACCTAGGCCTATTTGACCTCAGTGTTCTGAGTATGCAGCGTGCTCTGTGTATTCACTCAGGCAAAATTTTCACTTTGAGGAAAGAGGACTGTGTTTGTTCCATCTAACGGAGTGATACGCCTTCTGATCCAGTCCTGGGAAAAATGGCAGGACCCCTCTCTGAGAGTCTAAAACTAATTTTTCATTCAAAAAAGGGAAATAGAGACAAATCATATTTGAAGAGGCAAGATATGGAAAGCTAATGCTGAAAAAAAAACCTTAGCAATAGGCATTTACATTGTTACTATGTTTTGTGAGTTGAGATTGTTTTTCTTTCCCATTATAACCATTGGGCAAAAGTAATCGCATTCATTAGGAGAGATCAATGTGCACTTGGTAAATCTTTAGGAAAATGCAATAAAAGTGGCTTTTGGACCTGGGCTTATTAGATGTTCTTATTAGATATTCTTGATCTTATATATTTTGAAGTGTCTTTCATTTTGTGGCTCTTACTGATTTCTTACTTTATCACGTTGTGTTTTTACTCTAATTGCCTTATGCTGTATGCTTCCTGTGTACACATAGATTGTATACCAGGGTGTGAGTTGGGTGTGAGTTGGAGAGGCTGTAGAGAAGAGAAAGCTGTGTACAGAAAGTAGGCGGAGAAGAGAGACTGAACCAACTGTGTTGCCATACAATTTTTTAAGACCTTTTTGTTGGGCCAGGGATTTAGCTCAGTGGTGCCGCCTCTTGCCTTGCAAGCACAAGGCCCCAGTTCAAAACCAGGTACAAAAAAAAAAAGGATCTTTTTGTTGTTGTTATGAGTCACTTCTTAAACAATATAGCCTAGGTGTGCGTTTTTTCTTTTCTTTCTTATAAGCAGTGACTATAAACATGGTGCTGTCATGTATCTTTTTCTAGCATTTGAGCTTTAGCAAATGAAAAACTGTGCATAAAGGGAAAGAAAAAAAGACTGAAAAGTGGCGTGATTAAGGTGATGGATTATTTCCTCTTACCCAATACTTTCTTTTTTCAATAAGAGAAAAAAGAATAATAAAGAAGCCAGTAAAAATATATAAAGCCCATAATCAGAGTTCAGTTGTTGTTGACCAGGTGATTAATTTTAGCAGCTCATAGTGTAGACCAGAGTTTTTATTTGCTTTGGAGGCTGCAGGATTTGAAGGTAGCAGAAGCAGAGAGATGGACCTGGTGCCTCACCTCTTACCCACAGAAATCCAGGCAAGGCTGTGTTCACATTGATGGTGCTCAAAGGAACAGCCAAATCTGTAGGCAGCTGGGGACCTGGGTTTATGTCTGATCATACCTGACAGCAGTGTACCTCATCTCGTGGGTTTCAGAGTGCCCTTCCACTGTCCTCCTTAATTTTCATCCGGATGGCACCAGGAGAAAATGAGCATCAAAGGGTGATTTTGGGGGTGCGCTAGAGTTGGCTGACCATCTATGCCTCAAGCTTTGGCTCTGTTTACTTGGTGCTACTGGCTGATGTTTACCGTGTGGTACTCCTACTTCTCTTCCCATTCCTGGCCTCACCCTCATTGCCTGCTTCCCAGAGGCCCTGCCCATCATTGCAACATCCCATGTCCCAGGACTCAGGCCCCAGGCCCAGCCTCAGATTGCCTTCCTTTCTCCTTGGATTTCCTTTTCCCCTTGACTCCCTCTACTAGAAGCACTTGTGAGACGAAGAGAGGGTTAACTAGTATTCAAGCACGTAATCCTCTGATGAAAGGCAGAAAAGTATTCTTAAACCCTGCCAGGGCTCCAGATAGGCAGCTGTGGTGTGTGATTCCTCCTCCCCCACATTTCCAGCTGCCAGATGAAGGCAAGGTGTTGCTGAGCCGGGCAGGAGGGAGATCAGACGTGCGAACCGCACAACTGCTTGCCTGCCATCCTTGCACAGGGACAAGGAGGCGTTGTCGTGTGTGCATGCTGCTCTCCCATCACAGAGGTGGAATCTGTCCCTGCCCTGCAAGTTGTTAGCAGATCTAAATAGCTCATCTAAACAGCTGCTCCAATCAGTTTGAATAAGGGCAGAAGAAAATGTTTCTCACCAATCTCTCACTCCAAGAACACAAAGGAAAAGCTGCAAAGAAGGTCAAGAAGTGTCTGAGACTTCAGCCAGTCAAGGAATCTGAATTTCAAAGCATTTTTAGGTAGACACAGATGGGGAGGCCCACAGGGTTTCTGAGCTCACTGAAATTTTCCAGCCACCCTCCCACCATACACTGCTCATAAAACAAATGGAAAAAGTCATTTCTCAGGGATGCTTTGACTTCAACATTCTTTTTCCAAACAGATTAAAGGGTGTGACCACATTTTTCTACTATCTTCTATAAACTTTGCTAGAGAATTCAAGCTTTTTCTGTTGTTTGCTTAATCTCACAAATTACATAAACCTTTCTCCTGAAATCTTCCATCACCAGCACTTCATTTTCAATAGGTACAGAAAGGAGTACTTGGGCAGGCCAGGCCAAACCTACAACAGTATTTATGTGCAAAGAGCTTTTTCTGCTCACAGTGAAGATTCACTGTTGGTGTCTTTCAAAATATTTCTTTTAAGAACCTGGGGGACTGTTCCAGGCCCTGGTGACAAAGCTGTAGCAGATGCTTTTTCATTTCAGGACTGTGGTGAGAACCTGATCCTGAGACACACCCATCCTGACAGTTTCAGAGTAGGAGGTGGCAAGGGAAAGGAACACTTCTGGTTCTGTCCCTACTGTTGTTTAATGGAAGGTAGATCATAAATATTTCAGGCTTTAGAGAAAAGATGTGCAGTCTCTGTTGCAAGCACTCAACACTGCCACTGTAGCACAAAAGTGGCCATAGGCAGTAGGGAAACACAAGGTGATGGCTGCATTCTAGTAAAACTTTATTTATAAAAGCAGGCAGTGGGCTGGGTTTGTCCCATTGGGATGTATTTTTAGCTAACTGACAGGT